CTCTTGTTGAGTATTTAGACAACATATTATAAAATCCCAAAAGATGTTGAAAAAATCATTCATTTGCAAAAGGTTGCAAATCAATTATCTGATATATTTGTTGACACAAGAAATGTGACAAAGTCATATATACCAGTATAAAATATTTCCACAAAAATTGATGTCCATAAAGGACAATCTACTGTAATAAGTGAATCTCAAATACGTCAGCAGTATGGTCAATCAATTGGTTCAAAAGACTTTGTACATCGAAATATAAAGATACATGAGATCAACCAATCAAAATTTTTAGAGGAAATAATATTTGAAAAGATTTTGATTAATTAAAATTGAAAATAAATTTTTTGAGAAACCACTAATGTCTGAAAATAATGAAATTTCAATAAACTATATGTCATCTCATAAATTATGAGAACGAAATAATGTTGTTATAGACAATATTTTCATCTTTAATATGTATTTTAATATTATGCAAAATGAGGATCTTGAACCATAGTCAAAAGACTGTCAACATAAAAATTATTGACTAAAATAGAAAGAAGTTATACATACAGAATTATACTCCTCGACTAAAATACAAAGAAGTCATACATGCAGAATTATATTCCTTAAAGAAACGGAAAGTATTTGGGCTTGTAGTTCATGTACTTGAAAATACAATCCCCGTTGGATAAATATGGGTTTTTGTACGAAAGAGAAATGGAGGTAACGAAATTACAAGATACAAAGCTCGACTCATAGCTCAAGGTTTATCACAAAGACCAGGAATTGATTATGGGGAAACATATTCTCCCATAATGAACATTATCACTTTTAGATTCTTAATTAGTTTGATTGTGTCACAAAGATCAATATGCACCTTATGGGTGTAACAAATGCCTACTTTCACGGTTCACTTGATAGTGACATACATATGAAAGTCCTCAAAGGGTTTAAAGTGCTAGAAACAAATGATATATGTCTGAGAACCATGTTTTTAATTAAATTACTAAGATCGTTATAAAGATTGAAATAATCCAGACACATGTGGCATAATCGACTTAGTGAATATTTATTGAAGGAGGGTTATAAAAAGAACGATGCCTGCCCATGTGTTTTCATAAAGGAAACAAAATATTGAATTTGCAATTGTGACGATTTATTTTGATGATTTAAATTTAATTGGAACTCCTAAAGAGCTAAACAAAATTTTAGATTATTTGAAAAATGAATTTGAAATGAAAAATTTGTGAAAATCCAAATTTTATCTTGAGTTGCAGATTGAACGTTTTTCAAAAGGATTATTTGTTCATCAATCTATATATATAGAAAAAGTCTTAAAACCTTTTATATTAATAATGCACATCTATTAGCATCACCTATAGTTGTTCGATCATTTGATGCGAAAAAGATCATTTTCGTCCACTTAAAAATGGAGAAAAGATTCTTGGTCCTGAAGTAACATATCTCATTGAATTATAGTATTAATTTATCTTGCAAACTGCACTCGACTCAACATAACTTCTTCTGTAAATTTTCTTACAAGATATAGTTCTATACCAATACAAAGATATTGGGATGATGTTAAACACATTGTTCGCTACCTGAAAGGTACAATGTTCTGGAATTATTTTATTCTCAAAAGTCAGGATCTGCTTTATTGGGATATCAAATGCAGGTTATCTCTCTGGCCCATATAAAGCGAAATCACAAATTAGATATGTGTTTATACGTGGAGGAACAAATATGTCATGGAGACTTATGATGCAATCATTGACCAAAATATCCTTTAAATCATTCTGAAATTATTGTGATGCATAAGTTGAGAAACATGACACATCATATCCAAAAATCAGGTGGATTAATTCAATAAAAGTTAGTCCATCAATTTTGTATGTAGACAATACAGTTTGTAATGCACAATTTAAAGAAGACTATAGCAAAGGTGACGAGACGAAGCATATTTCTTCAAAAATCTTTCATACACATGAGTTTCAAAAGAATGGCCACATTGATGTTCAACAAATTTGCTCAAAATGACAATGTGGTTGATTTATTCACAAAAGTACTACTGATATCTACATTCAAGAAATTGATTTATGAGATTGGAATGCATCGGCTCAAAAATTTTCGCTGATCAACATAGGGGGAGTAGTGTTAGAGCTTGGAGTTTCATCTTAAAATATCAACATTATTAAGAGGAATAACCCAAATCTTTATAAGTTGGTCTATGTTTCCATCTTTAATTAATGTAGGATTTTATCTCTTAACATGTCCCGCAAGATAGTGGATCATTTGAGCATACCAATTTTGAAATTCGTATGCTCATTTATTGAGTCTTAATTGAATCGAATCGCTCGTTTGAGCTTAATAAACTCCAATACTATGTTAAGACTTGAGATTTCATCTTAAAATGTCAACTTTATTAAGAGGAGTAGCCCAATATATCATAAGTTGGTCTATATTTTCATATTTATTTGATGTTGGAGTATTCCCTTAACATATCCTCACAAGATGATGGCTCGTTTGAACTGACCAATCTTTAAATCCATATGCTCATTTATTGAGTCTTAATCGGATCGAGTCGTTCGTTAGAGTTTAATGGGCTCTGATATCATATTAAGATTTGATGTTCCATCTTTAAAGATCAACTTTATTAAAAAGAGTAGCTGAAAACCTTATAAGTTAGTCTATGTTACCGTCTTTATTCGATGTTGGATTTTATCCCTTAACATGTAGCTATACTCATTTTCCTTCACTTATGTTTTATCCCAATGGATTTTCCTCCTAAGGTTTTAATGAGACAATATTTATGTTTAATACTCTAAAAATAATTGTACTCTTTTTTTCGTTTGATTTTTTTGTCCCATTGAATTTTTATCAGATGAGGTTTTAACGAGGTGGATATTTTGTAATGTATCATTCATGTGAGAGTGTTGTAAATGGTAAGTCTATTAGTAAATGACAATTGTATCCCTGTAGTTTTAAAAATTATTACCGCTGTATCCCTGATTCTTCTCTATAGATATTGGATTTGATTCTTAATAAAAACACACACAAGTCTATTAACTTTTATTTTCTCTTCTCTTTTCCTTTCTTTTCATAACAATTTCTCTAATGTGACATGAGACATCTTCCATTTTTATAAAGATAATTGTGTGACATTAGATTGTTAAGTATTCATCCAATGCTAATAAAATATTGGGAATTACAATATTAACATCTATCTTATTGCAATACTTAAAAAAAAATTCCATACCTATGCCCATTTGGAATTTACAAAAATGCTCCCCTATTACTTGTAGACGTGAATTTCGAATCCAAAACCAATTTCATTAACAATAAGTTTTCATCAAAATCAATATTTTTGAATGGAATACAGCATTTATGAAATCAGCTTCTTAAAATTAAAAAAAATAAAATAAAATGCAATTGTCTCCAGTCTAGAGCTTCTTTCCTCTTTCATGTTTCATTCAGAGGTGGTGATTGTTTACACATCATTCTATTGTGGGTGTACCCCTTGCACCTTACACATCTTGTTTCTTGATGGCACTCTTGATTTGATCGTATTCTTTGCTTTTTCAAGTCTCTTTGATTGTCATTTGGATGTTGGACGAAATATTATGTCCAACGATAAACCTTTTAATATTGACTAACATTTAGTTTTATTATTGTTAGCATGCTTTAAATGATTCCCGTGAGTGAGTTTATGATAAATCTTAGATCGAACCCTCGAATCGGAAAAATTGGGTATAAGAAAAAAAATATAGAATGAGAATGAGATAATGATTATTATAAAAAAGTTGTACAAGTTAAGGAATCTATTGGGGTGTTGTATATATGAATTAGGAGTCTTTGAGTTTGAATCTGGATTATGGAGAACAAGTCGTCGAAATTATGATAGCCTATCGTCAAACTGATGCTCGAGCGTCCAAAATATGTTCAATGTTGCTCGATGATCGCTCGACCGATGATATTTTTCAAGAAATCCTAGTTCGTGATTTTCAATAGTTCTATCTATCTTATACAACCCAAATACCTCTCTATTATAAACAAACCCCAATTCGTGAAAATGATGGTCGATCGTTATATTCTACTTTCATAACATCCTTTGGAGATCAAACAATAATTCTATATCTTGAGATAATCAATCACAAGTTGGAAAAAACATCAAAATCATATAGTCCAAAACATCTACTTCCTAAATATAATCAAGAATGTTCATTTTTAATAATTTTCAAATGTTATTGAAAATTGAGGGATGTTGGACCAGAAGCACATGAAGAGTACAATAACAAGGTATTTTTGGTGATCTACATGAAATAAATAATTTCAGAAGATCAAGAGCAGGTGTGAGTAAAGCATGTTCCAACGGCCTTGGAGATTGCAGGAATTAGATCAGCAAGTCAAGTGATTTTCTAGGCTGAATCATACTATTGTCTATAGTGGAAGTCATTGGCTTGGTCCCGAGATTTTTAATCTTGTGAATGATTTTCTCCATCGACAATAAGTCCGGTGCTATTTACTGCTTTATTGACTATTGTGGCAATTTAACATAGGATAATATTGACTTGTTTAACTAAACATCTAAAACAATTAAAATGTAACTTGTTACTTTTAATTGATAATTTTAATTCGGCATTATTCATCTGTTCACCTTCTTCTAGGTGATTTTATGGTCGAACTAGTAACTTTCCAATAACATGCTTTTAAGGATTGTCATTGAAAAGAAAATTGGGTTGCCAATGAACATGTAAATGAATCCTAATATTACAGTGTTGCCTCAATTCAGAAACAATCCATCTTAAATCGAGGATGTCTGTTCGCTAAAATACTATACCGGAAGTGCACGGGTCGCGTATAAGTAATAGAGTGGACTTTTTTAGTACGAGTCGATCGCTCGAAGAGTGTTTATTCCAATTACACGGGAGTTGATTCGAAAAAAAGTCAAGACACACACAATTAATATCTTTGAATTTGAAGATTAAAAGAAAATGATTCTAAGCATTCAAGTGAAATACCCAATTGCAATTATGATAAAAGTTAGATTTATAATCGGGTTGGGATTCATGATTCCACTTGGCTGTCACTAAATTAATTCCTCAAAACAATTCAATAGAACATTGCTCACTTTTCTCGTCAAACCTGATTTTCCTATTTTATTTAATTACTTTCTCAAGTGAAACTAACTCTAATCAATTAGTTTACCCTACTATATCTCTATGTCGATTAAACACAATCGAAAGCATTAAATATTAATGAGAATAACTCAAAGGGTTACCTAGGATTAAGAATATATCTCCATTTCCATAGGAACTTAGGGTTTCTACCACCTTAGTCTAAAATGTGCAACAATTTCTCAATAATCACACAAATCACTAAATATTATCACATAAATCACTAAACATTATCACATAGTGGCCACAATAATGATAATGCACTCAAAACAATGGTAAAAACACAATAACATAAGCATTAAATAGTGGATAAAGAAATTTATATAGTTAAGCCAAGTTCCTCATTCATCCCAACACTAAAATGTTTAGCCCATTGTATTTGTAGGGCAAAAAATGAAAGGATTGAAGAAATACACCACAAAAGTTGAGAAAAATATAATGTGAAACACAAGACAAAGAAATAAACCCGTCCCTTGATCGGATCCTTGATCTTGATTTCTCCAAGATTTTCTCCCTTTGATGCGGTATTTCCTCTCATTTTTTCCTTGCCCCATTTTTTCTCTAAGCTAGGGTTTTTTAAGTGAATGAAGAACGAGAGAAAAATGGATCAATTTTGCCTTTTAAATGGCTCAAAAACCGTGTTTTGTAATTGCAAAATGATCCCTACCATAAAAATATAGGCAAACAGGCCCCTAGCCGCGGCCGTGGTGCTGCGACACTCTGAAATTAGCGCTGCAGGGCTACAAGGGATAGAGGTGTGGCGCCGCGACGTTGCGGCGCTGCTACGGTACCCCATCCCATTTTTAGTATTTGTAGCCCAGGTCCTCTCCATATTTGTATGCTAGATCCTTCAACTTTGAACTTGTACATTTTAGTCCTCAAAATTTGAATTTTCTTTCAATCACGCCCTCCAAAATTTGCAATATTCGGTCCTTAAACTTTTAACACTTGTACACTTTGGTCCCCGAATTCATTTTTTGTGTACTTTTGGTCATCTTTTCCTTCCTTTAGCTATTTTCTCCTTCAATTTGGGATTTTGGCATACAAACACCATAATTACACAATTATAAATAGGAGTTCGCTCAATTTCTTCAATAAATAACCCATTAACGTGCCTAATAAGTTTGTTAAGTCAAACACAAGTAAAATGCAGTGCCACATGGAATCCATTGTATAAGAAATAATCATCGTACATATTACAAATGACACAATTTGTTGCTAAATTTGGAACAGTAGACACTAATTGTGATAAATTAAATTTTCACAAGATCAAAGTTTTCAAGGAAAATATAGCTTAAATTCCAAATACAAAATTCTAGCAAACCATGGGGTTATTAGAGAATTGCAGTTCACATAGCAATCACTAGAATGTTCCAGAACGATCTTTATGCATTATAAAATTTCGACTAGCAATTTATAGTTTTTCAAAAAATAAATAAATAAATAAATAAAAGGGAAAAAGGAGAGCCAAAATAGCTTTTTCAAGGGGAAAATATACAATATAATAAATTCTAAAAAATAAATAAAAAATCATGTCAAATAAAAAGAGATAAATTATTGTGGGATTTGGTGGCTTTCTTCTTTTTTGGTATCGAAGTCAAATCTATGGTGGACAACAAAGAACACAAGACGTTGAATCTTGACTTTAGGGATTAGGGTTAAGAAAATGCAATTGAAGGAAACTTGGATAAATCAAGGAAGAAGTTAAACCTTGAAATTAGGAATTTAAAAAGGGAAAGATTTGTTGATCTAATTTTTTGAGCACAAATAAGGGGAAGCATAGATGGATTTGGTTTTTCATTTTTTACTTATAAAATGTCAGTATGTTTGGAGTATAAAATGTGAAAATGTAATATTGGAATTCATATCTTAAATAGAGTACTCAGTGTAATTTACACTTTTCGGATAGTAGACCAAATGGACCATATTCAGGCTATGTTTGAGCTCCATTTTTCAGAAAAAAATAAATTTTGTAATAATAAATTTTTTGGAAAATGTGTAATCAATTGTAGGAAAAATTTTAAGTTTACATGAAAAAAATTATTTAATGAATGAATGTGTGGTTGAAAATGATTTTTAAGAAAATGGATCTCAAACGAGGATTCAATTTCATTTAGCCAAAAATTCAAGTGGAAGAAAACGGCTCTGCTTCCCTAATTCTTTAATTGAAACCATTCCATCTTGTATTGAGTTTATAAGTCCTTTTCTTTTTACATAAACTTTTGTGTAAATTGAATGGTGATGCTGTTGTGTTGGTAAAGATGATAATGGATTTTCCGAAGGCTAAGTGATGGTGTGTTTTTGCATATTTAAGACCGGAAATGATTATGATGAGAATGGTTTGTGTTGGTGATGGACTTTTCAATGGCCCAATGACGGTAGATTTTTGTAAATTTTAGATTTTAAATCAGAAATTGAAGATTGAAGATAATAATGGTGTGGAATGATTTGAAACGGGTAACACCATGTGGTGGTGGTCGTGGCAAGACGATGGTGTGGGATAGTTTCATAATAATACTCAAGTTTTGTGGTGGTGGTGATGAAGTAGTTTCACATAGTAACATATAATGTGTTATTCATGTTTTATGTGGTGGCCGATAATAGTGAATCCAGTGATACTATCGGAGACGATGGCTTTAGTTGTTTGTACATCTTTTATTTCAATTATCTAACTTGACAGTTGAAATGTAATTTAATAATAATAATAATAATAATAATAATAATAATAATAATAATAATAATAATAATAATAATAATAATAATGACACCCCACCAATTGTAAAATATTGCACGTGTTGGAGACAAATCACCAAAATATGAAGACACAACAAATTTTGTAGAATACACGGTACAAGTTGAAACAGAATAGATTATAACAAAGGGAACAATTAACAAAAGCCCGTACCAAAGGAATAGTTAAAACCTGGAAATAAAGTCAAAAATAGTAATTCAACTTATAAGCTAAGAAGATTTCCCAAATTCCGTATTAGGGTATAATGCCAGTTCTGGCCCAATAAGTAAGGTAATGATGATACGGACTTGGCCCGTGTTTCGATATTTTGGCCCAATGATAAAACAGAATGAAACCCGGATGAAAACCCAAGCCCACCTATTGACCCTGATAAGAACGGATTTGGCAAATGCGACTTTGGTTGTTTGCCTTATGTCAAGAGTGCAAGTTTCTTTGGACAGTTGGATGATCTGATGCCTTAATCTCAATGTATATATTCCTTGGTGAAAATGGAATGCCAGAGTTTTTTCACTTCATTCTTTCAAGGGTTTTTTAGAGAGTTATGTTCTCTTTCTCTTTCGACTTCAACTTTTGTGTTGATGTTTGTTTTTCTCTTTAATCAGTTTAGAGAGCGTTTGTTTTCTTTGTGAAATCTATTGAAAGAGTATCGAGATTAATGATAACGTTGAGTCTTTCTGGTCCATAGAAGAGACTTAACGTTCCTGTGGATTCTTGGGTGAATCTGGGTATTCTGTATTGAAGCATTTTTTTTAGTTTTCTATGCTACTCATTATTACACTAACTGTCACATGTTCCTTTTTGTACAATTTTTGTGTTTACCGACTAACAAAAAGTCAACTTCTCTTCCTTTGATAATGATGATTTGGATTAACACAAACGAAACACCAAACACCATGTTTGGTTAGTAAATTCATTTCTATTCACTTTTTAGTGTGAATTTTATTGGAGATCATTAAACTTTCAACAAAGTCAATCTATAATACATAAAATGCCCTTTATAAATAAAGACACCTTAGAAGGAGAAATAATTGGACAGGATACAACATCCTACATGGTGCGATAGTCTATGAGGAGTCGTCACCTCATCGGATGGCTCAATCTCACCCAATGAGGTGAGGTCATCTTGGGGTTTGAGGTGAGAAGAGAGAGAAACTCAAGTCTCGAGATGATCTCACCTCATTGGACGAGGTTGGACCATCCGATAAGGTGATGACTCCTCATTATACAGTTGCATCACGTAGGATGTATGACCATTCTACCCAAGTATCTTTCCTTTGGAGATGCTCTGAAATGCTAATAAAGAGATATTTTAATCGAAATCGAATCTTTCAAATTTGAATTGAATGAAACCACAAGTTGTAGTCCTACTCAAAATTAAAAATAAATTAAGAATCCAAATTGATCAGGTTTGGGTTGATTCTTGAATCGGAATTATTGGTACTGATTCTGGATCCAAATTTGTTACTTTTCATAAGTTTTTATATTTTACTATTTCTTCCTGACCCAATTACTCGACCCAAAATATTGAAAGTTTGCAAAACTTAACAGGTTGTATGTTAGTAAGGTCCACGTAGTAAGTGTTATAATTAATTAAATTCACTCATTTGAACAATTGGATGTATTACTTTCTTTTATGGACATTCACCAAAAAGGTTGATTATATGTTGAATAATCTATCATATCACGCTCCTTCTCAGAGGTTGAGTACGGGTCAATAGCAGCATGCACAACCAGCCATGCTAACAAGACAGCTATTAATTGAGCCCTTCATGGGGTGACCGAGTTGGTGCAGTAGGTGAGCGCGGAAGTCTTTGGTCATGAGTTCGATTCCCTCTACCAATACTTTCTCGGTCGAGCTTCTTGTATAGTGCTTGCCTAATGCGATTTACTTGGCTGGCTCGATTTGCAGGTTATAGCCCAAGGATTTACCTAGTGCGCATGCGAAAGGTAGCGGTTGCAGGTTACCCCGTCATAAAAAAAAAAAATAAAAAAAAAAATAAAAAGATAGCTATTAATTGAGCTTCAACTTCTGTTTTTCATGAACGTTAAAGTATAATGAGATTGATTGTCACTTTGTTCGTAAAAAATT